TGTCCCACCGGCTTCAAAACCAGCCTCTCGCTGCAGCCGCCCAGGGTGTTGCCCAGGGGCGATTTGACCAAACTGCAGAGAGCTGTCTGTGTGGCATCCAACACCACGGCGATCCGAACTGCCTGGAAGAAACTCAATGCCAATTTTGATCTCCTCTTCGCTAAGCGGGCCTTTGTACACTGGTACCTCGACGAGAGACTCGATTATGATGAATTTGTAGACGCGAGGGAGAATTTAGCTGCGCTGGTAGAGGACTATGAGGAAGTGCATAATGATACGTCGGAAGACGCTGTGGAGACCGTTTACCTGTAAAACTTCCAGGTTTGTTTGCTCTGCATTTCGAAGACAAGGCATTAATGAAGTGTTCTCACATTTTGTACATATGGTACATCTGGTTACCTCGACATTAGCAATGCTGTGTTCTCTTTATATATAGAATCCTAATCAAAACAAATTTGGCTTTAGGTCTCCTTCGCAATTTTTCACTTGTCAACAGGGTTTTCGCGGTTTTTTTAATTCCTTGACAAATCTATGTGAGAATTTGGGACACATTTTTCGAAAGGGACCTTTCGAGCCTGATTCAAATAGTTGAGCAGAACTCCGTGAGCCTCAACAGAATAAAACTGTACTGTACATCAACTACTGATATCGATTCAGTAGCCCGTGCAATTGGATTATTTACCGTAGCCTTAGTACGAGTACTAACCAGAATATCACACGTATGGTGTACTGAATTTGTGCCGTCAGCTGACGTAGCTGCTAGGGGCTGGAGGTTCCGATGGGCCACCCCTCCCCTCCACGAGGTTGATAACTTACGCCACAGTTTTTACTTTTAAATACTCAACATTAGCCCATGAACAAACGTGTGGAGGCAATCTTGGTTCATCCAAGAGGGAACGGGCATTACTACGCTCTAGAGTCTAGATCGTCTACATTTAAATCTCATAAATAAATAAATTGTATATTTAAGACCCAAGGGGCCCTTTCATTACAAACTTAATGCAATAGTGGAAAATAAAAAAAATTAAAAATTTGTAATCACAGCTGCGTGCAAGCAGCTGTAAAACAACAAGAATAAGTAGTATGTTACGCGTGGTAAGATGGTAAGTTAGATCCGATTAACAACCAAATCTCTTATAAAATAATTTGATGTCGTGCTTGAAAAAAGCGCAGCTAGCAATTCACACCAGTAGGTGCAGTACAGTAATTGCCCTCTGTTTTCGTGAGCGTCCTACTTCCAAAGCAACTGAGTCCTTCATCCCCGGTGTTGTCAAATTGGGATAAGACGCCGTCAATAGCGAAGCCACTCGCATACGTTTGAAGTATAAATTGAGGTGAGTCAGGGAGAATATTTGGTAACATTAACACAGGGGCGGTCTTAAGCTGAGACTTGAGTACGTCGAAAGCCGCCTGACGGTCTTCAGACCACTTAAATTGGCCATCTTTCTCTGTGAGGATATGCAGGGGGCGAGCAATCTCCTGAAAACCGCGAATAAATCGCCTATAGTAAGAGGCGAGGTCAATGAAACCCAAAAACGTCGGTTGCCGATGAAGGCGTAGGCCAAGTCCTAAGGGACTCTCTTTTCTCTGGAGAGGCCTGGATGCCTTTCCGGCTAACTTCATGTCCAAGATGGGTGAATCTGTCACGCAGGAAGGAACATTTAAGGGAGTTCAGCCGTAACCCAGCGTCACGAAGAGAAGCTAGCACCGCCTAGCGGTTATCATTATGTTCAATGCTGGACTTCCCGAAAGCAATGACATCGTCATGATAAATAAGTCAGCAGCGAGGCTGAAGATGGGACAAAGGGATTGCTTGAGCCGCTGGAATGTGGCCGCAGCATTGCA